CTCTCTCTCTCTCTCCCTCTCTCTAAACGCATGAAAGAGATAAAGAAGTAAAAGAACTTTCAATTCAAATGTCAAAAACACTTTTCCTCTTCTCATCCAAACTCTCATTGAATTGAGTATTGAATTAAACGCCGCTTTTGTTGTGCCGTTAAATGCATTGATTGTTAAGAAAAACATTTTTCATTATAATTATTATATACTAATTAATGCATTTAATTTTAATCGCAACACACAAAACACTTATACTTTTATTAAAATATGTAATAAAAGGTTTTCATATACCCAACACCGAAAAGGGTTTAGCATTTCATTCATAATAACCCTAATATGTCATAAAAATTTATCATTTAATTGAAACTCAATTAACACAAAAAGCCATAAATTGGACATTTATTTTCATTATTTCCCCGCAAAACATACTATTCCCCTAAAAATGTCATAATATTTCATTATTATTATCTCAAACGAAATGAAAGTTTTTATTTTTAATTATATTTATAACACAACTTTCAAAAAATTTTTGAAACACAAAAACAGCACAAACTCTTAAACCACTTATTAATCTATAGTTTTAATATCCATTAATTTCACAAACATTTTGTGTCCTAAAGGCCTGTAAGTTAGGACTTGTGGCACATTTGGAGCAACTCCTGTACTACGGGTGTGATATGAACTGTCGTATTGTGGGCTCCGGTAATACACCACTCCATGTGTCGGCCATCAACGACCAGATAGACTGCGCCCGGGTTTTGCTGCTCAGGGGATGTGATACCAAAATCGTCAACAATTCACATCAAAACGCATATCAGGTATGCATTTGTTTAATGTTATCAATATTTTTATTATTATTATTTGAATGAAATAGAAACAATTATGTATTATATTTATATTAAGCTAAAGTACATGTACCGTATATTGAATGTACTTTAGTTTTCCAAAAGTAAAAATTACAACCAGTGAATATAACAAATTGTTCTGGGTTATAATATTTTACAGTTGTTGGTAAAATTCTAAAATAGTATATAAAATTGTAAAGGAAATGTATGTGAATGTAAAATATAAATTCGTATTTTTTACATCCACTATAGGAATTCTCCATTTCTAATAATATACCAAGCTAAGTCGTAAATAATGTTTACAGTCTTTGAAGTTTTTATAAATATTAAATAATTTATTAACATTTTAATTACAATAATACATTGTATTGTTATCTTATAAACACAGTATGATATAATTATTAAATATTACACTTTCATTATTAACTATATAGTATTGTACTTTATAAATAATATCCTATTTTTGCAATTAACTATAAAATATCATGCACTCAAAATTAATATCTCTAAAAGTCCTTATTACTTCAATGAAATATTTGGCTAATACAGTAATAATTAAATAAAATAGACATAACACGTAAGAAATATTTTGATGACAAAATACAATTCAATTAGTATTTTTCTATCGAAAGTAAAAACTCATTAATTATTTGCTTAACACAGCGAACGATTTATTTAATTAATAGTATTGTTTGCTAAACAAATCATCTGTAAGTCTATTAGATGTCAAGGATTCACATGACTTTGTATTATAAACATTATAAATAATAAATTATATGCCATTCACTCGTTAATATCAATAGTTAATTAATAATACACTAATGAGTTCCTTCACTATCTCTACCTAACTTTCATTAGACTTTCATTAAACCTTGTACAGTATATTGTACAAAAAATATTTCGCAATGTATTGTATTATTCTATAATAATAAAATTAGATAAGTCTAAATTAATAATCTTATGCTGTAACATGAAGTTTTTTAAATAAATTAATTCACATTTAAAAAAGTTTGTTAGTTATAACATATAAGAAATGAATGTTGAATTGTTATCCATATCCTTCACATTTCCCTTTACGTGAGATATGAAAATACTTTACATGTTTTGTTTACAAAGGAATTTGTGATATTTTTTCGACATAGATATTGCTATTGTATTTTACTAATAATATCAATTCAATAATTAGTGAGAAATGTATGTAATTCACATGAATCATGCGACATAACCAGGGTCTAAATATTTATTTATTTGTACTAATCTCTAAATGAGTTGATAATGTCTTTAAAATTTTCAAACATTATTTAAGCGGAAATTAATTTTTAAAATTATTCCCAAATTACCCCATACCATTGATATGACATTTACAATAACGTTTGTCTCACACCCAAACACCCGACGCCATCGCCCATGTAGTCATGTATTCCCTGAGAAAACTCAATCAAATGTGATAACAACTTATCATTCAATTAAGTATCGTTTGGAAAGACTGCTAATACTCTTGACATTCAGTAGACTTTTCTTTCATTAACACTCTCTCACTATTTGAGACACAAATCGTTTATAATTGTAATTAAGTCTCAATTTTTCTCTACCCGTCTGTCCCTCTCTTTTGTTGTTATTTTTGGTGTTAATAACTGTTATATTGCGAGTGAAAGACATCGGGAATAACTCAGCCGTGAAACTCAAAAATATATTTTATATTCATTAGTCATAGAGAATTGAGCCCATGTTTCGCGATATATTAATAATATATCATAAAAAGTATGTAATATTCTCTCACATATTATATGCAATTATTAAAACTATACACATTTGTATGTGTATGTATGACTGAAATCGGAATCCAACTATTTTTATGCCATATTCTGTTCATTACGACAAATATAGATTAAATAATTAATGAACAACAAGAAGTAATTACTTTTTTAAATAACTAATTTAAATCACATTTTATTGTCTGTTAACATAAGTTCACTGAAGTTCAGTGGAAAATGATATAATAATATAGTTTTTGTTATTTCCACTAAAATTCCAGTTATTTCTTAATCTCCAAACAGTTTCTCATTCACTCGACACAAGAGAAAAAAGTTTTTGTGATTTTTATCTCATATTTTATGTTTGCTTTTCCACTCGTATGACAGGTCGCCGTAATCGCTAATAATATGAGTTTAGCGGAACTCATATCCAGCCATAAGCCCGAGATGGTGGTGCCGTACAGGGATAAGCCTAAGTATAACCCGGCCCGTAGGCCACCGCACAGTCAAGAGGAACAACACCATCAACAGTCTATTCGCTCACAAACTGTAAGTTTGTATTAAAGTTTCCGAAAATTATAACCAGGGTTAGCATATTTATAGTATCGAATCAAATGAATTCGGTTTATTTTTAAAAAATATTTTTACCTAGTACAAGTTAGTACTAAAAAGCTTTATATTATAATCCTTAAATAAATATTTGAGTACGTATTTTGTGCGTGTTTTATAACTACAAATCACTACATTTTTAGGTAGTTATGTACTAAAGTAAAGAATTTATATGACCTTACTGTTATGCAAGGGGCGCAAGTATACTATATCAGATTTATATTGAGAATAATAAATAGTTTTATTATCATAAAATGCATTAAATCTTATGATTTACTAAAAAATTAATACTATTTTTTAGTCCCAACACATCGAGTCATCCAAATACAAGTCCCAACAAAATGGCAAAAACACATTACAAGTATCGGGAGGGCCGGGCGGTTGTCAGACCATCTGTCCTTCATCGCCATCCCTGAGTCAGCGTTCGTGCGCCACATCTACCACAACGACCACCACATCCTCGGGTGTCTGCTGTGAAGACGGCTCCCAATCGGACGGTGTGGCCGAAGAGGAGCCGCACGAAGGGGTGGCCGAGGACTCGGAAACCGACTCCGAGTCGGACGAGTCGTCGGTACGACCCGTACAGCTGTTGCCGGGTATGACAGTCGTGGCTGTCATCGACTACAACTCGGGTGACCCGACACACTTAGGTCTGCGCCGGAATGACATGATTTTGTTGCTCCAAAACACGTCGTCTCCGCCGACTATCGCCAACCAAAAGCTACTGTTGGGGCGCCGGTGTGTCGATGGAAAAGAGGGTCTGTTCCCCATGTGTTGTGTGGAGAAAGTGAAGACCCGAGTGGAGGGCCGGCGCGACCAGAAATACTCGGCCACAACACTGCCGGCCCGCGGGCGCAGTAATCAACGAAATTTCCTCAAAGCGGTATATAAAACACACAATAGTTTGGTCACAATTACAACGAAAAAAAACTAATCAAAACTTTTTTTCATACCGTTTAGGACTCAGCCGGTGGTCAGTCGAGCGGTGCCTCAGGACTGGGTCTCTATCACGAGAGGACAGTCACACTGCAGAGGGGGTCCAAAGGGTTTGGGTTTGTGTTGAGGGGAGCGAAGGCCACATCACCGCTACTTCTCGAGCAAAACCCATCGCTCATTGGTTTGCAATATTTGGATGAAATCGAGAGCCAAGGGGTCGCCGAAGCCGCGGGCCTTAAGAGAGGGGACTTCCTGTTGGCCGTCAACGGCAACGACGTCCGGCATATGTCGCACGAGATGGTCGTCCAAATGATCCGCCAGTCTGGGGATCGCGTGACGATGACTGTGGCCACACCTATACCTCAACACAAGAACAAACAGTTCAAATCCATACTGAAGAAGGACACCGATAAGAAGGTGGCTAAGAGTCAGCCCATGGATGTGCACAACCAGTCGATGAGCGCCAGCGTCGGCCCCATTGGCGACGACCAGAACGCCGACCCGAACCTCATGTCCTCATCGCAGCCATCGGACGGCCGCTCCCTTTACGCCAAATCCAATGTCAATGTTATGCAAAAGTTTTCGACACTTCCGCGGAATGCGGGCAACGGTTCCAACTCCTCGTCCACGTCTTCCCGCTCCACATCCAGAGGGAGGGCACCGCCGGCGCCGCCTAAACGCGATCCCAATACCACTTTGTCTATAGGCAGAGCCCGCGCTCGCTCTCTGCTCTTACCCAACACTTCCGGTAATTAATTGACGACTTTTCTGATTCATTCAATTCTCATACATTTTGCAATGTTTTGAATGTCAGGCCAATCGGGCGGAACGGGTGGTCAGAATCGCGGTGAGAACGCCACCGGCAATGACTACGACTCGGAGGGCCGGTCAACGAAGAGCTCGTCCCCGACCACATCCATCGAGTCGATGATCGTCAACAACCGGGTCGCCGGAGCGCCCGGCAGTGCGGCCAACAAAGTGGCGTCAATTCGGGCGAGTCGTCAGACGCGACGGATCTCTAGCTATGAATTGGAAGAGTTCTTCAGCCGTCAGACCGACGACGACCCGAACCACACGAAGACATTCGAGTCGATGACGGCGCTCAAGAAGAAGAAGAATAAGGGCCAGAGTTTGCACAAGAATTTCAACTCAACGCCAGACATCCAGAAGCAATTGGCCGAACAGTTGGCCAAAAGTCACGGCATGAGTAACAGCGAGGAGGAGCTCTTCTATACGACCGGCGTTTACGCCCAAACGGTGGCCCTCAGGGGCGGGAAGATTATCTCCACCACCTCTGAAGTCAGTACAAACTTCGACAGTAATGGTCAGTCACGGGCGCCGGCCCCCACATACCCTCCACCGCCGCCACCACCCGGTGGTCAGCTCCAGACATCAGTGGTAAGCATTTTATCAGATTATTAGTTACAGAAGAAGTCTAATACCTGTCCACTAATACTAATCCCCAGATTAAGCTAACGCTCGCCAAACACAGTCAAAGCGATTACGCGAACTTCGAGTCCGTCTCCCAGAGCCAGCAGTTGTCCAGTTTTAGGCCAGTCCTACAGCCCGACCCCTCGCCAGCCGAACCACCCGTCAAACAGGTCATCACAATAATACCTAAAGCACCGGCACCTCCACCGGGAACTCAACCTAAACCGACGGGTACTCTAAAAGCCGTGCGACAGCCAAACACCTCATCGCAGACCACATCAGTCTATACACGACAGGACACTATTGAACAGCTCGAGGAACAACTGTCCGGACCTAACATACCAGACCCCGACTACTCGAGCGACGAGGACCAGGATGTTCAACGCAATCGCGATTTGAGTACTTTTAAGGCCAACAAACAGACTATGAGTACCAGTGATAGAGTGCCCGACAGTGTCGGCGCCGCGTCGGCCGGACATCGAATGACACAAAGTTTTGCCGAAAAACTGCCAAAAAGTGCCACAAATAACACGAATAATAATAATAACACATCGAAAGGACAGTTAGCTTTTGGCGACGAGTTGAAGGCACAGACGCAGAAGATTATGTCCAAATCGATGGCCAATCAGTCGACTCTTGAGTCCAAAGACAAGTCATTCGAGAGGAAGGGCTACGAAAACGACGACAAATCCAACGATAACTCAAACAGCGATTCAAATAACTCGACAAATGTTAGTAAAGTCCGCAAAAATATCCGCGAATTCGAGCGCAGGTCCAGTATTTGTGGCGACACTACTGTCCCACCAGTGGTACCGGCGCTCCAGCATAAGAAGGAGCCCACCGTCACGTCAGCCAACATTCACAGCAATACTAATGACAGTAATAGTAATTCTATGCGAATGAGTAAATCGTGTTTTGAAGTCGATTGCTGTGACAATAGCTCATCCGGTAAGTCATATTTGGTTGTCCTTTATTTTGTGTATATAATAATATACGGTAATAGATATTGTGAGCACATATTTACTGGTATACAGTAAATACAGTACAAATCTGACTGTATTTAAATGTTTTTATTATAAACTGTAATTTATATATTAGTAAAACTTATTAGACACAATTTTAAGTATCAATGCAATATTAAGTGGTCCGCCTGGTCACTGCCTAGAACCTAACCTAACCTACAAAATATACTCCAAAATAATGGTCTAATGGGTTAAATAAATGACCACATTTTGCATTATTTTAGTTGATAGTTCAATATTTCCTATCAAATTATTAATTTAAGTTATTATTTTAATAATAAATTCGAAACTGTAATAAATTTTATAAGAAAAATAATATTCATTACTTAAATTAAATTTCAATTGGGACATCAATAATCTAATGTTTTTTGCTCACCATGTCATTCATAAAAATAATACCAATTTATGAAACCAATTACTAATTGTTATCATAACTGACAAACAGGTGTATCGTCTGACGTGGACGGGGAGTACGGCACCCGAACTGAGACCACAAAAGCGCAACAAATGTCTCAAAACTCGCAACAAATAAATCGTCGAAATTCACAAATAGGCGAAAAAATTGCGGTCTTAATGGCGGCCACAGCACAGACCAGTCAGGCGGCAGCCATGGCCGCAGCCGCTGCCGCCGCCCCACCACCCGGTGCTCCACCGATGATGACCACCACTGCCGGCGCGCATACGACGAGACGCACAGCCAGTTATAGCGACGACAGCCATAAGACACGGCCGAAGGGGGTGCCCAACACCAGCACCAGTCAGTCAATGATGGCCAGTGCGCCGACCACTGGCCCCCAATCCAGTAATTTAGTGCCAAATCTACAGCAAAAGTCTGTGAAATTCTCCGCAAACTATTCATCAAACTCTGAGCCAAAAACAAATACCATTTCCGATGTGCACCACAATATGAGTTCCACTAATAGCTATCCTAATACACAACCACAACAACAGCAACAGACCAAGACATACATGACAGCCCAGTCCAAAACGGGTCAACCCATTCGGCTACAGATCGACTCATTAGGTATGCCTTATATCACAGAATTTACAGAATATTCTTTGAATACTAAAAGCAATTCTCGTGCCATAGGTTTGGCGGCAGTCAATGAAGTGGACGTTTTGGCCGAATTAGTTCCTCCGCCGCCGGAGTTCGCGGCCCCACCCCCGGGACACCCCTTACACAGAGGGTCGCCGGCCGGTATGGTAGCGGCCGCACCGGGCGATCCCATGCGAGGGCCGATAGCGTTGAGTCAGAGCCAGCAGCTGATGGTCCGCCAGCAACAGCTGCAGCACCTGCGCCAACAGCAGCTCCTACAGCAACAACAACAGCGACGGGTGCGCCAACAGTCACCGCCCGTCACGGGCGCCCCTCAGCCGCCACCCATACCCTCACAACCTCCGCCATCCACACTACCCCACCAACAGCAGCACCAACAGCACCAACACATCCACCACCAGATGATGGCCGCTAATAAGGAACAGATTAGGATCATATCGCCGACACCCCATCAGACGATACCCGGTGCCGGTGTAGGCGCTCACCACTCGCACCCCCAACAGCCGCCCACTGCCGCCCAGCACTACCAGCGCCTCCATCAACAGGTAATTGACGATGAATTGGATGATGAATATAATGATGACATCTATCCCGACATTGATTACGAGTTCAGTTACGATAACCGCAATAGTAATGCAATTTATTACTAGTTTTTTAGACATTATTTTGTTTTCCAATACCTGTTGTTGTGTTACGAGTGTTTGCATCAAATATTTTATTAACTATAGTAAATCGCTTATGATTTTTATAAACAGTATTTATATGTTTTAATTATAAATAGTTTTGACATTTATTTTTAATGTGTTTTCTCTGCCCATCATATATTAATTGAATGTAATTTTCTCTATTAATTTGTCGCATTATTTATATATATTTAAGTATTAATTTTAATTATTATTAGAGAGAAACCGACTCATGATTTCAATTAATAATTAGACTATAATTTTGTTAAGCATTTCGTTTAATTTAATTCATTCATTCATATTTGCATTGATTTTAATTTGTCAATTAATCGCATGATTTGTACATTTAATTTGATTTTAATTTTCATTAATAAAAATACTAATTTTTGTTAAAATTATTTTTTGTATTATTTTATTTGTAACTATTTCATTTATATCCCGTCTCATTTTTATACTATATAATACAGAGTATATTGAGAACTTAATTTACAGGTGAGTGTATTATAAAAGTGTCCAGTTTATTAATCAATATTTTTAAAAATTAAAATCTAAATAAATCCGGTTTCCATAAAAACCCAATAATTATAATAGAAATATAATCACATATATAAATATATTTATAAATATTTATTACAGTCGAAATCCAATTCTTATATAATGCAACTAGTCAAAAGATAGCAAAACAAAATTGCATACTTTATTTATAATTTAAAATTTTAATTTAACTCCAATCAGATTAAATAGTTAGCAACATAATTTTAATACTAACATAAATTTATTACTCTTTTGTCACTCCAAAAATAATAATTCATTAAGTCAAATAATAATTTAACTCATTAATAGTTAGACTAAACAACTAATTCATAGATGATTTAAAAATATATTACAGCTCTGATTGCAGTATCTATTCCCTTTTCAATACATTTATTAATCAAGCCCAAATAATAAAATATATCATACCATTAGAAACTATTTATAACTTCAAATGTTTAAAACCAATATTTAAAATCAATTTTATTTTAAAAATTTAAGTTACACCTTAACCACCATTATACCGTAGACATTATAGACACCAACAATTTTCTTTTTCCATAGACATATCATACAAATATTGAACTTTATAGAAATTACAGTTTTAATAACTATAACTCATATTAAATTTCAATACAATTTCTACTCCAACCCCAACCCCAGGCACTGGAGGGGCGATCCCCACACACGGGCACAACACCGCCGACGGCCGCGGAGTTCAGCGACCTACTGGCGCGCCAACGGGCGGCTCAGGTTAGGGCACATCAGCAGCACATCGAGCAACAGATCTCGGCGTCCATGCGGTTGGGCGTGAATCCCATGCAATCTCACGGACTGCCAGCCCATCAGCAGTTCTCCACACTTCAGAGGCACAGCAGCGCATCACCGCATGGCATGGCGTCGGGCGGGGCGGAGGGCATCGCCCACTCGGCCGCCGCTCAGGCCCAGCAGTTCGCTACCCTTACTCGACACCAGGCGTCCACCGCAGCGGCCGCCCAACAGCGCCATAATTACTGCGACTACACGCGTCTCACTGTACAGAATAGGCTGATGAGACACCTGAATACCAGCCCCCAGACGGTGCTGTCGGCCGGCGGTAACGCCAATCCGGTTCAGCCGCCGGCATATGTGGTGCGACCGGTCATAGACTGGACGTGCGATGACGTGCAGGAGTGGCTGAAAGCCATTGGTATGAACGAGCACCTTGCTAAGTTAGAGTACTTCAATGGGCCTAAGCTCATGAGGCTGGATAATAACGGCCTCATCGGACAGGGAGTCCGACAGCAACAGCACCGCATCTATTTGCTCGAGAAACTCAAACAACAAATACTCAAAAATCATCACTAAATTTGGTCACAATTTTAAACACTGTTTTGACAAACGTTTTAGTAAAACATTTCATACGATTTTGCGACAATTTTTCATTGTTTTTATTTATTATGTAATATTGTATTTATCATTTTTGACTCGATTTTTATTATTAAACAATTTTTTGATTTTATAGTTATTTATTGTTTAATGAATTTTATGATTTTTTTATTAACAACTAATTTATTATAAATTTATTATTAAATGTGTTTTTAATTGAATTGGGAAAGTGTATGTAGTTGTATGTATAATTTGCATATTATTTTGACAAAATTAATTGATAGATTTTGATTTCTTAATAAAACTCAATTTCTTAAATTATTTAATTTCTAAATTTTATTTAAAACTTTTTAACATTTTTCATATTCAGCGTTCATTTATTTCGATATTTATTGCAATGTAGTAAATACAATACAACTGTGAGATGCAATAAATTACATATTAATTAATACAATATTTAAAAATTTTAATTGTACTGCAACTAAGATATTATGGGTTTTAATTAAATTTTTAAAACTGTAATTTTGCCAAAAATAATTTAGTACTTTGCTAATTACAAATGCTTTCATATCATTTGATTGAATTTAACAGAAATATTTAAGAAATTTAAAAATTTTTTAATTTTAATTTGCAAACAAAATACCACATCTACTAATATGGATATTATTAGGCAACATTTTGTTTAACAGTAAAAATAAATAAATAATCATTTTTTAGTTATATTTATATATTTAATAGTATTTGCGTTTTGATATAGATTTCATACATTTTTTATTAGCCATAATATTATGAGATAAAGCGATTGATTGTGTAATTGGTTATTAAGAAAGTATATAATTATATGAATATAAAAGTGGTTTGCATTACACCGACAAATGTTCATCGTTTTAATCGTTAATATTGATAATTATATATGAATTGCAAGTGAACTGTAATATTATGAACATAATTGTATGAATGATTGATTTGAATGATGTATTAAACGATAATTAAAAATGTTTATCTCTCGAGTGAAACACAAAAATNTTGATAATTATATATGAATTGCAAGTGAACTGTAATATTATGAACATAATTGTATGAATGATTGATTTGAATGATGTATTAAACGATAATTAAAAATGTTTATCTCTCGAGTGAAACACAAAAATAACTTAATTTATAAAATTAAATAATTGATAAATAAGTGAAATATTTGCTCATTATTTGTGAAATAAACAATACAATACAAAAACACATGAAAAGTAATACAAACAAATGTTTTTAACAAATTATTATTACAATTATTATTGACTATGAAATCAATTGAATACTCATTAAAATAAAATTTTGATGTTTTCTCTCATAGTTTTGTATCAATTATTATTAGAATTTTTAGTGACATTGGTTATTATGATTTTAACTTGATAACTTTATTGGTCACATGTCCGGTCAGGGGTTCGCTTACCTTGTACTCTGGATTATGAGGGAAATGCATCCCTATCCCTATCCCTCCCGTGCCATCAACATTAAGACGGGCGCCGTCAGTAAAAATGGCCAACCGTTTGGTCGCACGTTATAACTCCGTACGAAATGATTTGACTATAGTTTAGCTAAAGCTTAAAATTTATTAATTTTAAAACTTGTTGTCAAAATACAATAATATTTACAGTGTTACAAATTACAAATGATATCAATCACAAAAATAATTGATTCAAACCAATGGTAACACAACTACACAATTATTTAGTGGAAATTTTTAAAAATGATTATAAAAATATGTTATGGACTTTCTATCTAAAGTTTTTAAAAACTTATATAAAATTTATATTATAAACTGTTTATGACATGAACACAATACAAATTAACAAATTACGAAAAATGCAAATTATTAAATATAAACACAATATTAAATCATATTTTCATGCGTTTGGTAGAAATGATATCACAGGAAATGTTATCTATTTTATGAGAATTAGTTTTATTAAAACTAAAAAATCGTCTGATTTTTGCACACTTTTCGGTCACATAATAAGGACTTTGATTGTTGTCATTGTGTTCAATGAAGGTCTCGATCCATTTGGACAGACCGTCCGAATAGGAAGGGAATCGAGAGTCCATAAGAATAACGACT